CTATTGCCAGGCATTCCTTTTCGGTAACGGAATATTTCTTTTCCGCGGGACTCAAACTACGGCTTGCATATGCAATGACATGATCGCCATCGGTACTATGTTGAATTAATGCCGCACCCAACCCATTATCGGATGCATCTGTTTGCAACACGAATGGCTTCGAAAATTCGGGACAAGCTAATATTGGGGCTTCGGTGAGGTGAATTTTCAGAGTATCAAAGGCTGTTTGTTCAACATCGGTCCAAGTCCATCGGATGCCCTTTTTAAGTAGGCGGTTGAGTGGGCTAGCTAATTGGGAAAAATTATGTACGAATCGGCGGTACCACGAAGCTACTCCCAAAAAGCGTCGTAAGCCACGGATATTAGTAGGAGCTGGCAATTCTCGGATTGCCGCTACATTGTCTGGATCGGTTCGGATGCCTTCGGAAGTGACAAGGTGACCCAGATATCGGAGAGAACGTTTTCCAAATTCACATTTGTCCGGATTTAGTCGTAAATTGGCCGCTCTCAGACGTCGGAATACTTCGGCTAAATTGTTCAGGTGTTCCTCAAAAGTTTCGCCAAGGATTATAATGTCATCCAGATATGCAAAGCAATAACTATCTAGTTCTGGGCCTATAATGCTGTCCATTAATCTCTGGAATGTAGCGGGAACGGAGTGTAACCCAAAAGGCATTACTCGAAACTGGTATAGACCCATTCCTGGTACGGTGAAAGCGGTAATCGGTTTGCTATCTTTAGCAAGAGGTATTTGCCAGTACCCTTGTTTAAGGTCAATGCTGGAAATGTATCGGGCGCGGCGGAGTTTATCCAGAATGGCATTGATGAATGGCAAAGGGTATGCATCCTTTCGGGATATGGCATTGACTTTCTGAAAGTCAATACAAAACCGGTGCCTGCCATCTTTCTTTCGGACAATGACCACGGGAGAACTCCACGGGCTGGCGGACGGTTCGATGATTCCATCGTCCAGCATTTTCCTAACTTCCTAACTTTCCTAACTTGACTACTTCTTGCATTCGGGGATTTTGCGGTCGGTAACGTTGTTTTATCGGTTCGGGATTCAGTAGATGAATGGTATGTTCCACTAAAGGAGTTGTCCCTTTGATTTGGTCAAACTTTGGCAGTTCTCGGTCCAGAAACTTCTTTAAAAGCACCTCTTCGGCGGACGTTAATTCCAGGTTCGGACTATCTATCGGGCCAATCGGACTACATAAAGTAGGAAACGGTAGAAGACAGTTATTCAGATAAATCTTGCCACTGCCCAAATCCAGGTGGAATTTGTGTCGACTCAGAATATCCATCCCAAGCACAATGTCGGACGTCAAATTCGGAAAGTAGCTGATGGTTTCGGTCAGTGTAATGTTTCCGAGCTGTAACGGTATTTGGTAAGCTTTCGAAATGTCGATTACACCCCCATTGGCCACTTTGGCGCTTCGGACCTCAGGTTGTACCTCGGGATAATCACTGAGTCGGCATATATCTGCAGCGAGGTCCCCTATATATGAGTTGGCGGCTCCGGTATCAATTAAAGCTAAGAACGGGGCCTCTTCGATGTAAATGCATACATGTGGTCGGGAATCCGGTAGACGAATCGGGTTCACCCCTGTCGGAAAATAGGGATGTCTATTCGAGGTTATCGGTTTACGGTGCTGGGCTGACCTCGGACTAGGAGAGCACCTTTTTAGTTTCCCGAACGGGAACGGTCACATGGGCAGTTTCGGGACATTATACCTGGTTTTCTGCAACGGGAGCAGAATAATTTTGCAGTACCCCGGCAATCGGTTCTGAAGGGTCCAGTTTCTCCACACTTCCAGCAAATCATTGCTTCAGACCGATTGTTCGGTCTAGAATTCCGTTGGTTCGATTCGGATCTATTAGGCCATTCGGTTCTATTAGGCCGTTCGGTTCTACGGTTTTGCTGCCAACCTCTCGCTGGTGCTGGGTTTGTAGACGGATTTTGGGTAACAGAAATGCCGGCCGGTGGACGGTGTGCATTTCTAGATGTCGACGGAGATGTCTTCAGTTCAGACAATAGGCTTTCGATTTCCCTTAACCCTTTAACGGGCAAAATTTTCCTAAGACTATTTTATTCAGAAAATGCTAGTTATGTAGTCTTTTGGAAACAAGAAAAGATAAATTGTCACTAGAAATCGAGTTTTCTATTTTTTTCGTTCCTATATTAGGCGGTAAGCCATTTTATTTGTCACTCATTTGTAAAACGTCACTTATCAAGTCAAAACATAACCAGCGAAAATTGATTTTTACAAGCTACTGGCTCTACTGACTTGTAAAATTGACAGCTAAACCTGTAAAAACTTTTTACAAGTCAGTAGAATTATTTATTTTTGAAAAATCGGTTTTATCACAAGAATAATTGCTTGTAGGTACCTTCTGGGAGACTTTTCTGGTGATAAACTGTTGGCTACGACTGAGGCTTCATTAATAATATCTTGTAATAAATTCATTTCTGGGAAAAAATTGCAAAATGGAAATCTGTCAAAAAACCTATTTATAACTAGAAACAACATCTTAACAACGTATCATTCTCATAGTTATACCAACTACCAAAACTTCTGTGAGAAAAAATCAAGGAAAAACATATAAATTTCAAATTTTTGTTATGTATTGATTTTTTATTTGTCCCTATATCTTTTACAAATGAGTAACAAATAAATTTTTGTACATTATACGCCAGGTAGCAGTTTTTACTGGCTCTTGAAGGTGACAAGCTCGCCTGGCGGCTCGCTAGTCATTTCCTTCAATCGCCAGTAAAAACTGTTTTACCTGGCTAATAATGTAAAATACTATTACCAGAGACCATTTAGGACTAAATATGTAGGTAGTGTTCTCTGGTACAAACCCTATACCACACCTTCATAAATAATGCAATAATAAAATGAATTTCTGCGGGATCAGAATAAAAAACACAATAGCTTTCAAACAGAGTTATAACAAAAACGAAATATACAATAACTAAAGAAAAATTACATCAAACTCTATAACAAATGAACATTCCCTATCTTACTTCCATATAATCCTAAATAAGGTCCTAAAATTTTCCTAATCATCAGATTAGATATTGTGAAAACTGGATTGACAAAATCAAAAACAAATCAGAAAAATATTATAATAACAATTAGTGCGATTTAAAATTATTCATTATCGTTTTTATACCACAAAACATGGAAATAATGTTGAAATTGTATACATTCGAAAGAAAATTTGGAAAAATTTTCCTAGCGCAAAAAGAACAGAATGAAAAGTTGATTGATATTTTATGGAGACATGTATATGAAGCATGTATCAAAATATGAATCTTGAACTAGGAGTAGAACTTATAGAAAAAATAATTCAAAATGTACACAAAATTCACAAAATAAGGTCCAGGTTGAGAATATGTATAGTTTTTTACTAAATAACTGAGTACAGCATTAGAATTTTGAATTTATATCTATTCAGTAGACATATATAGATGATAATTACCTATTTGATTCGTCAAAATCCCTTCCGGATTATAAATATTGATAAAAATATGAATTGAAGTACATAAAACAACATAATTGATGCTTCTCGAGTCCCACTGGTATATATGGTGTACCACTTTCAAAAATGCGACCGCATCCAGAAAAATCTTGTAATAAACTGACGTCGGAGACTAACGTATATTGAATGACGATGTTTTTAGGATGCATTAAAACCAGATTTTCAGGTTATAATAAGGAATAAACAAGGTGGTACTAGGTTTACACCAGAGAACGTTAAAGGGTTAAGGTGCGGGAAAATGAAACCACATCGGTAATGTCGCTTTTCCGGATATGTTGTCTGTATTCAGGTAAAAGGTTTCTATACAACCACTGAAGCTCCTGATCTGGAGTCATGTTTCCATGTCTCCTGATGAGGGTTTGTAGGTCGGTAATATATCGGTGGGTTGGCACGTTTGGCTGTTGAAGCCGGCGGCTAATTTCAATCTCCAGGTCGGCGGCATGGTTGATCGGAAAATAGAAGCTGCGGAAATCCGTCAGAAATTCGTCCCAGGTATTCCAGTGAGCTCGGTTATTTCGGTACCATAGGGATGCATCACCCTGTAAAAGTTCTGGAATATGCGGTAGTAATCGGTCTATCAGTATCCCCTGGGAAGCACAAATTTCCTGTAGCCTCTCTATGAAAGTTACCGGATCGGTTCGTCCATTAAAATGGATATTCCATTTATGTACTTTCAGTGCCATTCCCGGAGATCCGGAGGCGACTGGAGAAGGCAGCGGTTGATGAATGGTTATAGTCGGTATTGGCGGATTGAGCACTTGAGTTGTCCCGGGTGCACCAGTATTAGCAGTACTGGTTTGAGTCAGGGCAGCGGTACTATTTGTGCTGGAAGCGGACGGAAAGATAAATCCTGCCATAGTGCTCGGTGCTGGTGAAGCTTTTCCCTGGCGATAGAATGTAACTAGTCGCTTTTTCAACGTTTCAACAGTACCTGTAGTATCCAGTCCAAACTTTGTTAGTTCAGGAATCAGTTCATCTTTCTTTAGTAGATAAACCCAACTCACACGGCCATCGTTGGGATCGTACCAAACGGGGTAAGTGGTTATTGGTACGTTAACGGACGGGTTTACTGGACTAGTTGTAACCACTGTAGAGGCAGTGGTATTCGGTGTACTGGTAACCGGTGGGTTTCCATTGTTGCCGGTGCCTCCTGTCATTGTAACTCTTGGTTAACGGTCTTTCAACGATCGCGGAGTACAGAATAAAAGCTGAAATAACAACGGCCTTCAACGGTTAGTTAACAGCAGGTTCGTTAGCAGGCTTACGGTTACATTCGGCAGTACGGTACGGTACGAAGAAGGGCGCTCGCTGACGATTCGGATCTAAAAGTCAGATGTCGGCGTATTCTAGGCTGCGGTGCAGATAGGACACTCCGACTCCTCAGGTGGACGGTCGGAACTAGAATGATTCGGAAGGATCAGGTATACGGCTCGGTTATACAAATCTCTTGAGTTTTATTCGGTTCGGTAAAGCGGTATATTTCTCTCAGAACGGTTTCTTAGATGTTGCTCCCTTGAGGGCTTGGTCGGTTCTCTTCTAGATGTTGCTTCTTCGAAGGTTCGGTCGGATCTGTCGGAACGGTTTACTAGATGTTGCTTCTTCGAAAGCTCAATAGGTTCCTCTCCTAGATGTTTCTCCTTTGAAGTCTCGGTCGGTTCTGTCTTCTTCTGCGTGATAATCTTAGTTTATATTCTTTCAGGTAGTGGGGAGACATTTACCACCAAGAGTTGGTGGTAGGATGATGGCTAGTGCGCACACTCCTCTCTCACGGTTTACTTATTCGGTAAATACGGTAAATCTTCAGAAATATTATGAAATGTGGCAACCTGGCAATCGGTACAAGATACTACTATTCTAGTAGTAGAATGAGATTCGGCAACCTTGATTTAGTCGGAAAGTTGGTAGGACACAATTCACACGGTGCAATGAAAATTGCAGTGAAAATGGCAACAGAGAAGCCGGTTTCTGTGAAATCACATCCATGGGGAAAGTTTTAAGACGGAAAAATGAAATCAGCGACCTCGGGATACGAGAAAATGAGCGGCAGCTCAAATTTTGTTATGCGCATGCGCTTACCAATACTTCCCAAAAACGGAGGCCTCCGGTCCAATGCGGTACGGTTTACAGGAACTCTTTTCCACGGTCAGACGGCATTGGTTGAGACCCTAAACTCATGGGGCGGATGACAAGGCATACACGGAACGGTCCAAAGTCTAATAGGAGCGGTTCATTCCGGCGCTATGCGGTCTGGCATTCTCATCAAAAACGGTACGGTAACGGTCAGACCTACGGGCGTCGCCAAAACAAACGGCCTCACGGTTGAAACGGGGACTAATGATTACGTAATCACCTCGGTCATAAGCTGAAATCATGGACATGCGCAGAACGGTCTAAGCGGTAAAAAACGATAAAAACGGCGGTAAAAACGGCGCACAGTGATGCGGATTTGAATTCTAGCGGGACAAAACCTCAGTAGCATTTTTTTTAGACTTCAATATCAAAAAATAGTATCCATATGTATTTTTGTGGCTTGCTTTGTTTTTTAGCTTTATGGGTTAGTGCAGAAAGGCGCACAGTAATAGATCATTTGTTGAATCTACCCGGACTGAAATGGTAAAATCGTTGGTTGTTATTTTGTTCATATAATATCGTACAACGTTTTTTTTTAAATTCACTGAAACTGCCAAAAAACATGGGTACATTTTTTGTGACCATAAACCTGCGGGTGTATTATTTAAATGACATGAAGAAATAAAAATGTATTTTATTCGATGATTTTATTCCATTTACATATAGAAAGTGGCAAAAAAGTCGCTTATAGTACCTGTAACGTTTTAGTTACTCGTATACGAAAAAGTGATCCTGATGAAAGTTGCTGTTTTTTATTTTTTTATTTTTTAACTAAGCAGTTGAAAATACGTGGAAATTAAAACTACAAAAAATTCATAGTTGTCTCACTATAGAAGAAAAGAGGACGTTCTATTTGAAAAAACAAAGTTGTTTTGGATGGCAACCAAGCCAAAAATGACACAAGACATATTTTATACAGGTAGAAATATAGGGAATAATGTACTGAGCAACTTTCATCAAGGTCACTTTTCTGTATACGAGGTAATTGAAAAGTAACAGGTAACAGAGGTATTATGCGCTCTGTATAATGTACCATGTACCATCGTCACCAAAAGTAACTGGGACAGTATCATATTAGCTCTTGTACTATTATATGAATTTTATTGTCAAATATTTGTCAAACTATGAATTAAAAGCATTGAAATGAATGACGGAAGAATTAGTCCAGGAGATTATTCTGCAATATTTTTTTCCCAGAAACTTTTGGTGGCAATGATACCTAAAAGACTCTAGGATCCTATAGCAGTGATATATTGTTATAGTGTGCACATGATGAGCAGTTTCCACATCCAGCACGTTTAAATGTAAAAATTACAGGGACACTCATTTTTTTTTTTTAATAATGGAAATAATTGTTATTTATAATATTAGTATGTAAAATTATACTGAGTGTAAAGATTGTTGCCTTCCCACCTCATACATAAATTGGAATAGGAATGTTCTAGAACAATAATTTTAATAATGATATTGTGTTTTAACTGAATTTACTACCGATCTACAAAATTTTAGCCTTATCATACCCACAGGAACCCAACCCAAATAAACATAAATTTTTTGAGAGATTGAGAATTCTGGTATAGTACTTATATTGATAAAGTTTAAAACATGAACAAATAATAAATAAGAATTCATTCTATTTGGTTATAACGTTTCGTTTGTGAACGTTTGTGAAACACCACCATGGAAAATCAAAGGGAACTAATAAGACATCATATAATGAATCTGTTCGACGTTCATTTCAGACCGGCTTTGCAGCTTCTAACCCCAAGAACCGGTGCGAGACTCCTGAATTTTTTTTATTTTTTTTTCAGTGGTGCGGCAACGTGCGGTAAAAAAAAATATGAGCATAGAAACTACAAATATTGTAGCATCAAAATTGCTCAATACTTGGTGGTAACTATTGGTAACTCAACAGATCTACTTCACCCAATATGGCGAGAATTGAAAAAAACGTGAAAGTTTGATATCTGTAGAACAAAGTCGCGGAGCTTTTTCGAGAATAAAATAACTACAGTATAAAAGTACTCACCTTTACCAATCTGCAACATAATTTGGTTTTTGAATAGAACGTATTCGTACTAATAAATTTTTATTTTCGTATGACTTCTGCCAAGCTGAGCAGAAAACGACGAAATTGGGTTGATATAAGCTTATCAAAATACAAAGAATATACAATCCATAACAATAATTGTTGAATTTTTATATCAATTAGAATGTCTACTATCTATTCTTATCAACAAACTTTTTTTACCTTGTTTCTAAAAAATTCGGTTTTGTCCCGCTAGAATTCAAATCCGCCGCACTGTGCGGCGGTCCCTGCTCGGGCGCCAAATTTGTAGCGCTACTTTGGTTTTCCGGTGAGAAAGCGGTTGATTTCGGAATTTTCGGAAAACTCGGGCGCCACCCTTAGGATTTATGTGGTTAAGGGCCCACGTGCTCAAGGTAGCTTTTAAACAGTTGGAGACGGAAAAACCAGAGGTCAATATGCGCATTTTCCCCAAAATGAAAAACACAGAAAGGTAACTAACAAATTAAGTTTATTACGTCAAAAATAATAGATGCAATACGTAATGGAAAATGATTAAAAGATAATAATTAATGAACTGACGGAATAACGAAAAGAGAGAGAGAGCGAGTGTGTAAACGAATACTAGCGTGCCTTTTAGGTTATGCGGCGGTAGACGCGAAAGCTTATACAGAAAGGTTACGCAGGACGGTAACGGTACGCGGCGGTGAAAAGCTCTGCAGGTCCACTCTCGGGAAATCCAGCTCCATCAGCCGTCAGTGCCGGTGATTTGGCCTTTCAGGCTATCGGTGCGAGGTGCATGACGTATCTTAGTATACAAAGGCATAAGGACAGAGAGAGCCACCCTGTAAACGGTTCAGCTCGTAACCCCCTCACGTCCGTCACAGAAAGAATAGGACCACCCTGTAAACGGTCCAGCACGAAACCCCTTTCAATCCGTGTATCCCCCTGTATAGCAAGAGCATCATGCACGTGCACGAAAGAAACAAGAAGCGATCTGTGTGAAGTGTGGAATAGTCAATATACATTGATATAAGGACAACGGGTGCCACCCTGTAGACGGTCCAGCACGTAACCCCCATTGTCCGTCACAGACAGAATAGGGCCGAAACCCCATTCAGTCCGTGTACATCACTGTATAAAAAGTAGTCCCACTCACCCAGATCGTACGATTTACTGAAGCGTCGCGACGGCTCTGACGACGTCGGAGCGGAATCCAAGCCGGCGCTCACTTCGGTGGTCGGTGGTCGGTGGTCTAGGCGCTGGTGGTCTGGGCTGCTGGTACCTGAAACAGAAGAAGAAGAGTGTCCGTTTGTGGAGCGCTCCTCCTTTTATAATCGGTTGTCGGGCATCAAAGGTGGGAATCGCAGTGGGAAATCCGAGACACTGCGATGCGGGACGAATGCGTGAAGCGTTCGGTGTTCGGTTCTATTGGATCGTACGGTTTCAAACAAGGTCACGAGTTTTATTTAAATAAATTATCATGTAGAATTAATCCGGTCGAAGTAATTAATTTAGAACCGCGGTAGCACTCATTAAAATACCCGGAAAATTATGTAAGTTCGTTACAAATTATACAAAAAAATATGTATCTATCGTGGATCTGCTGCCGTAGCTGTGAAGAAATATGTATTTTTTTTTATCCACTTTGATAGGAATGCACTCAATAAAAAGATACATTTTGTGCCAAAGTTGGCTCCCTCATGTTCCTTATATTGACGCAAGAAGATAAAGTTTTCAAGTACTAATTTTTATTTCAGTTCCTCCTCAACGACCAAGAATAGAGTTTAATGGAACCCAAGTACTACCCGTTGTTGCAGTCATTAAATGTGTCTCGCATTATGGAAACCTGCCATTGTAAAAATGGTTCTTGGGTAAGCTATAATAATTACACTAAAGCCCTTATCTAAGGTACATTTTACTCAAGCGACAACAATAATATTCTTTTTTATTACAAAAGCACTTCTTTGTTGCATGTGTATTGCCTCTCACCAGGAGCTTTTCTCGATCATCGTACGTCGGGAATAGAAAATGTTAAATATTCAAACATGGCTTTTTTATGTTGAGTTTGTTTGTCCAGCCAAGAATTTTGTATTGCTTATATAAATAAGTTAGTCATAGGACATGGGATTATGTACAGTTCAAGGCGTGATTAATCTTTTCTTATATGAAAGCAATTACTTGCTTCCAAGTATATTCTCAGTCAGTTGAATTATCCCTAATCCTCGATAAAAAAGAGCCTTATATTTACTTCTTGCCGTAGCCAAATTCAATCAGGTTTCGGGAATGTCTGTGTCTCTTATACTTCTCGGTATTTCCACTGAGTAACAAACCAATAACAGCGCGACGGCATTATATAGCATCTGCGACAAATTGTTTTTATTGTATCTTTTCCAAATATCGCCCTTATGTTGTTATACTAATGGTCAGGAATCATATAGGAAGAGAAATTCTTTTGTGAGCAAGAAGTAAGGTAAATGCACCAGTTATTGACAGTGCTCCAGTAATTGACACGTAAAGGAAAATGTTATCAAAACAAGCTAACTCGACGTCCTTGATAAAAAAACTTCATTAATACGGTACTTAGCAACACTCTACCAGCTATGAAAGAAATCAGATAATATCTGCCAGTCATTTGAAAATGTGGAAAGGCTGGTTACCTGTCGGATGAGAAAAATTGAGAGATTTGTTAAGGGCAAACAAATTAAATATAATTTTTTAGTTTCTACTTAACTATTATAGCATTATAAGCCCAGCGGGCGTTATGATCCATAACGCCCGCTTATAATACCCTGAGGTGTTTTCGTTGCTATTGTTTTATTAATTTGCACTTCACCCTGGGCAGCGACTAAATGTCCTACCGAAAATAATTTTATGTCATACCAGTACATTATTGCCTTTTTATACCTTAGATACCATCTACATAATTCATCACTTTATGCCCGTGCGGGCATAAAGTACACATTCTGGCCCGCGCGGGCATAATATACCATTCTAGACATCAGGTTGACAATTACGCCGCAACCCAAGCAGCAAGCTGACGTCAATTTGACGTCTTTTTTCCGTCATTTTTTTTTTAGATTAGACGTCATTTTCATTTCCCAAATGACGTGATTAAGACGATAGGATCACGTGATTATGATGACGTCATTTTATGACGTTAAAATACGTGATTTTATGCCGTTAAAATACGTGTTTTTATGACGTTAAAATACGTAATTCTATGACGTAAACATACGTGATTTTATTACTTAAAAAGGACTTCGTTAACAATGAGGAAAATTACGTATAATGACGTCATAAATACCTACGGCAGTCATACCGTATTTGAAATATATGGTAGGTAGATTTGACGTTTGTTTGATGGGTGCCTCTTGTAGATCTCCTCTAGAAATTTTATATTTTAAAGCATATATGCAGAAAAACAAAACAATTTTTGTGAATCGATATAAAAGCAAATCCATATGTAATGATAACACCTACATTAAAAAAACGTTGGTTTGGGAAAATTGAACTTTTTTTGTAAGTAAAACCATTTTTTTTCAAAACTCAAACGTATATTAAAAAATAATTCAGGTACCTATCCTAATCGGATATTATACAATAAACAGCCTATAGGTATAATATTGTTTGGTATAATTCAGAAGTTATTACACTATCCAAACACTATTGGTTAGTCTTTACAAGTAAGGTGTGATAAGTAGGTATGTGTCATTGGAAAGGATATAAAGTTATTATTATCAAGAGAAAGTACAATGCATTTACAAATAATATCTTTTAGGCTCCACTTTTCCAAGCTAACACTCAGATTTTCCAATATATATATATTGAATTTACTTGATTCAAATGGGTACGTGTATAAAGGTTTATATTTTGCAAATTTCTTGCCAATAATAAATGTCTCTTTATTACTCGAATTTACTAAAATATTATTTATCTGAACGACTTTATCATTTTTCACAAGACAGCAGTAGCTTCAGAGATTTTTTTCTGAAGAACATTCAATATTTGCGAGTTCTGTTCTCGAACTTCATAGAGAACCTGGAGGATTTTTTCATTTAATTCTGAAATATAAGTGATTTTCGGGAAAAAATTCTTTAATTTAAAAATGTATTACACACCTGGAAGAGGTTGACGACGCCCAGGGGTTGAAATTCCTTGCGGGGTACTCTCTCCAACAGAGCTTCTTGGAATCCTTTCAGGATTGCTATCAGAGCAGGTACCTTCTAAAACAATAGAATAAATCTACAGCGTGATATTAATAGTAATATATATTTTTTTTTATGGTTGGCACACACACAAAAGGGAAATCCTATAACACTCGTCGAGCGTAATAATAATAATAATTATAATAATAATAATATAATAATCAAATAATAATCTAGGATAAAAATCAGAATTTTTCAAAAAAAAATCAACTTAGCATAATATCATAAAAATATGATAATTATTATTATATTTCTTGTTGGACTTTTTAGCGACTAACCGTTTTTTAACCGTTAAGCTGTGACAGTTAATGGATTATTTAAACTCACTGTATGTGTAACCACTTACATTAATCAATAGAAAGTGGATGAATGATACGCATATTATTAAATAGTCATAGAAAAAAAAAATTAGGTACATTTGAAAAATCTCAATTAAAATAAGTAGTATATGTAAATGAAAGAATAATAAATAAGCTGCAGCCTACCAGTTAAAGTTGAAGTCAATATCCTCTCAGAAACGTTATTTCTGGGAGAATTGAGAGGCAATAATCTACTATTATTGCAGCGGGAACTACCTGGAATAACCTTCAAGGGTTGATGTTCATCGGAGTTAGATGGTCCTGATAATTTATCCATCAAACGATTCTCTGAAAAAAAAATGTATGTCCTCAATTTTGAAGTACTTAGGTACAAGGCAAACTATAATGGAAAATACAAGTTGACCTGATAAATTATTTGTTGGAAATGAAAACATTTCCGATTTAATCGAAGGGTCGCATTTTGCGAATAGTTTAAATAACGTGTTTTTTTTTATTCATATTTCAATGGAATTACTTAAATGGGTAGGTACCTTGAAGGATTATTTTTGGAGGCCTTTCTATAAACAACTTTTTCTTTTTTTGCTGAAAAGAAGCATCATCGGACTCGTCGCTGATGCTTGTATCTATTTTTTTGGCCCTCTTCCGCCTCCTTGCCTTTGTGGATTCCTCTTCTTCAGTTTCCAAGTTCGAGGTATCCTCTGCCTCTCGACATTTTCGTTGAGCTTTTTCATAATCGTCTAGAATATCCAATAGTTTTGTTATACAGAGGTTGACACAAGAAATAGGCACAGCCTCTAACTTTTTTTAATAAATTTAAGTTGGAAATTTGGACAACTTTTTCAGTTTTTTGAAACAAAATTTTGTTACAAGCGAGGTTACAAGTCACTTTTGGTATTTTTTTGGAATCAGTGGATAGTGGATTATTTTACTTATGACAGGACAATTATTGTTGAAAGTTATTTGTACACGATGTTCCAACGAGGAACAGGGGCTTATTTTTGATCTACCCTGTATTTTTGAAAAAGATCAAAATAGCCAATTGGGATATCAAAAAATTAGGAGAAAAGTTAATAAGGACTGACCTGGATACATTTAAAAAAAATGGAAATTTCAAATTTTTCTGATTAGATAAGTAATCCAACAAAATCAATTCACACAAACGCTGAATTTTTTTTTCTAAAAGCTCAAAATTACTGTTCAAATATGTAAAATGATTCGCTGATTCCCAAATAGTCAAAAAATACCGGGTGTTCGATTTGAAAATCTAAAGGTATAACCATTTTTGAGGTAAACCTGAAAAGACTTTGTTTCGCAATTGATTTCAAGAAACTGAAAAATTGCCTCAGTCGAGGCCTCAGTTAAGCTGCCCAAATTTCTTTCCAATTAATTTATAAAAAAAGGGATAGGCTGTACTCTATTGCTTATGGCATGCTATGATTTTAAAGAAAAAAAAGAGGAGTCCGAAATAAGTGCGCATTTTGTTATGGTAGATAGAACGCAGCAAAACAATCACTTTTTACTTAGGAACATGTGTCCGCAAACGTCTCGTTAAGAAAACACAGTGTCGAAATTTTCAAAAAATTTTGACTTAGGTTCAAAATGCCTTTAGCGATTTCGTCCAAATTTTTAGAGGTTGTTTGTGCTGTTCTCAAGCATCTTTCTAAAAAATCCTTTCAAGTTTCACTTTTCCAAGACCGGATTTAGAGCAACTCCCAAGACAACTCCTATTTAAAAAAAAAGTGGTACGCCCCTGGTTTTTTTGGCGAATCTAAAATTATTTCTTGATTTCTTGTTTAAGTTTAAACAAAAAAGGTATCCCAAGTTTTCCTTGTGCAATGCGACATTAACGAGATAAAAAGTAAAAATCAATGTATTGTTTGGAAAATTTATTTTTATTGAAACTAGGAAAATGGTAAATCAATCAATTTCATAATAAATGCTAAAAAAGCTGGATTTTTTAGAAAGATGCTCGAGAAAATCGCAAACACTCTCTGAAAATTTGAACAAAATCGGTCAAGGCATTTTGAATCTAAAGGCAAAAAGTCAAAATCTTTCGAAAATTTCAACACTCTGTACTCTCTTAACGAGACGTTTGCGGACACATGTACCTATGTAAAAAGTGATTGTCCTACTGTACTCTTTCTAACAACAAAATGCGAACTTATTTCAGACACTCTGTAGATATTTCTTAATTTTTTTAATTTTTAAATTGAAAAATGTGAATCTCAACTCACCAGTCTCGTACATTACCCTCTTAATACCATGTAGGGCCCAATCATTTTCAATGACTGGATCGTTTTCCCTTATTATTTTATTGAATAAATTCAGTGCCTTGCAAGGAGGCCAAAAGGCTTCTTTTTTTTTTGGCGTCAACCAAGCCTTGTTAATTACTGACAAACCTCCTCCGTCTACCCATTCTACCACCATATAGGCCATTGTACAAACCCCTCGACAAATCCTAAACCAATAAAATTATTGATCATGTAATGATAATTACCTACCAACCGGTAGCTAATTTGAAAAAATATACCTATGTACCTAATGCTTTTGAAAAAAAAAGTCTTCACTCGAAATTGTCTTGTGTGAAAGTGAAACTACCTAATTCAAAGGCTTGAAGTCAATTCTTGTATGACTGGCTTGTGAAGCCCTTCATTCTCAATGACAGAGCTTGTGGTTTTGGAAATGTTTTATAGGATTTTTAAGGCTTTAGCAGCTATTTTTAGTGTTTTGAAATACCAAATGGACTTTCCAAACCCTCATTCTATCATTACCTAGCTATATTTCAATACATAACTTCAAAAAAAAATATAAACCTATTTTTAAATTCAATAAAGTGGGGGTGGCGCCCCAAAGTTGACTACTTTTGAAAAAACATGCTTCTGCAAAACAATTTTTTTCGTCAATACAAATGCGAATCGACCTGAAGAAAACCTGCAGCCATTGGCGGATTTACCCATACGCTAACTACGCTGCAGCGTAGGGCCCCGGGCAGCCTGGGGCCCCGCAGGGGCCCTTCCCACATGTCAAGAATATATACTCCAAATTCCAGAAAATATGTTAAGTTAATTAAAATCTTACCCTTAGCCCCCCAGTAATAATTATAATAAATTAAAAACCAGAAAACTAAATTATCAAAAATAAATATAGAACTGGTTATGAAAAAAGATCGCAATTTTTGGGAATACTTTCAATTGAAAGTGATTTTACTGCAAATTTGAATTACGATGAGGCGATAAGGGAATTTGCCGATATTAAAATTAGAAAAAAAAATGTTTTTGCGATTTTCGGTTGTTTACTATGTTCTAGTTATGATTTTTTTCTGTTCTACTTTTAGAACTTCGTTTTGATTTTGTTTTAATTTATCAATTAATTCAAAAATGAAAATATTTGTTTCATTTTGTCCTTTGTATTAAAAAAAATAGGGGGTAGGGGCCAAAAAACTTATGTAGCATAGGGCCCCATAAATCGTAAATCCGCCACTGCCTGCAGCTATTTTTATTCCCTAAAAAACACACATCAAAATAATCTGACCTGACAAAATTGATAATCAACTGAATAACTTTAAACTTATCGCAATATTCAATCATTGGAAGTTTCAATCCGTAATGAAAAGCAGCCATTTTGTTGTGAAAATCCCAGGCCAAAATTTAACCCAACTTAATTTTCACTATAACGAATATTGAAATACATATACCTCGTATTGTGTTGTGAATATAAAATAATTATTAACATTGATGAAATTAATAAAGAAATCTGATAGGAAACTTACCTTTTTCTATTTTATTCCCAAACCAAAGATGCAAAGGACAAAGGAAGGACACAACACAAATCACTCACGCTACGGCCACGGCCACGCTGCGATCTAGACTGGTACTGACTTGTGAGTGTGCGACGACTGCGCGACGAGTGCGACGCGACGTGCGTGGCGCGTGCCTGTTCCAGTCAGTGCCACTTGGACTAGACAGAGACGGAGAGATAGTTGCATGTTGCATTATATGGTTGCATTGTTCTATTCGTTCTAGAGATACGACGTCTGAAAAAGGCAGAGTGTGAAAATGTCGAAAAAAATTACGTAAAAACGACGTGCCACGTGCCTGAAAAATGTAATATAAGTTGAAGTCGATATTGAAAATTAATAAATAAGGACGGCATTGCGAACGGTATGAATTATTTATAGTTCTTTAATAGAAAAAAAAAAAAGATTTAAAATTTCAAATGTCGGAAAAATCTCGTGAAAACGACGTATTCTTTATGACGTCTAGAACACGTCGCGAAAATCACGTGATGAGTCACGTCATTTATTGGTAGATTGACGTCCCAGACCATAAATGACGAAAAAAATACGTCAAATTGACGTCAGGTTGCTGCTTGGGAAATGACGTCATTTGCGTGTACGCAAAGTTGCATCGATTTCAAATAAAGTCCCCCTGGTATGACATAAAAGTTTGTATGCACCACGGGTACTAATAGATATATACCCTCGGGCGACTTAAGAACCCTCGGGCCAGAAGCCCTCGGCTTTGTAAGGCTGTCGCCCTCAGGGCATAATCATCTACTTAGTACCCTTGATACATAAATAACTACTATTTTCTACTCAACACAATGTTCTTTCATCAATTTAGTATCAACAAATCAGTTAAACTTGTGTGACAGAATATTGTTTTGTATTTGGACATGTACCTGTGCCTGTGACCTGTACCTAGGAACGAAATAAATTGATATATCTATAAACATCTCATAAGGCAAGGCAACGATGGTGGTCGTGTGGGTTAACGCGCTGAACTACATGGGAAACGTTGATGATAGACCGGGTTCGAATCCTGGCCAGACCGAAAATTATTTTCGGTCGGACATTTAGTGGCTGCCTAGGGTAAAATGCAAATTAATAAAACAACCACAACAAAAACGCCTCAGGGTATTTAAGGCGGGCGTTATAGATCATAACGCCCGCTGGGCTTATAATGCCCTCAGGTTGTTATAGGTATTTTAACGTATTTCGTTTCCTTCGTATTATGGATCTATAATAGTTAAGTAGAAAATAAAGCATTGTATGCACCACGGAGATTTTGAGATTATAATGCCTTTCAGGCGAAATATATCCCGAGGGCAAGAGGTCCTCGGGATAGTTTCGCCTTCGGGCAACATAATCTACATAATCCCCTTGGTATATAAATAGCTATTCGGTCTGGCCAGGATTCGAACCCGGTCTACCATCAACGTTTCCCATGTAGTCCAGCGCATTAACCCACACGACCACCACCGTTGCCTTGCCTTATGAGATGTTCATAGATATCTAAATTTATTTCGTTTCTAGGTACAGGTCTCAGGTACAGGTTCATGTCAAAATACAAAACAATATTCTGTCACACAAGTTTAACTAATTTTGTTAATACTAATTGATGAAAGAACATCGTGTTGAGTAGAAAATAAGGCATTTTATGCACCACGGGGATTTTAAGATTATAATGCCCTTCAGGCGAAATATATCCCTCGGGCTAGAGGCCCTCGGACTAGTTTCGCCTTCGGGCATTATAATCTACATAATATCCTTGGTAGAAAAATAGCTATTATTGCTAAATGTATCTATGTTTAATTTATTCCATATGTTTGAGGGCAGAGTTTAAGTATGATTAAAATGTTTTTTACTGTGCGTAAGTCGGAGAACAGTAGATAGTCAAAGGGGATTCAAGAATCAAGCATTCTTGACACGATGGTGGATGCGCCGCCGTTGACACGAAGGTGGATGCATCGTCGGCGCCATCTTGTCAAACGTCATGGCGCCATCTAGCGTACATAGTGTGAAGTTCGTAATACAGGATGCTGTAGTTGGGACCCGTAGGGCTCCGCCCCCCAAAAGGGGGCCCACAGGGCTGCGCCCCCCAAAAAGGGGCCCCCGGATTTTATTATGGGTACCAGAAAAAGGGGTGGGGGGAAATGTTTTCCCGCCATCATGTCAACCGTCACCTGTCAAACGTCACCTGTCAAACGTCACCTGTCAAACGTCATCTGTCAAACGTCACCTGTCAAACGTCATCTGTCACATATGATGACGTCATACCGGGTGAGTGCGGTGAATTCTTGCAATTACAGGTTCCTGTAATATGGAGTTTGCGTGGAAGGGATTGTTCCGAGTTGTTTCGAAATCGCTACGTATATGTATTTATGGTTCGGGGAATCACAGGTTCCTGTAATATGGAGTGAGCGTGGAAGGGATTGTTCCGAGTCGTTTCGAAATCGCTACGTATATTTAATTATGGTTCGGGGAATTACAGTTTCCTGTGATATGAAGTTTGCGTGGAAGGAATTGTTCCGAGTCGTTTCGAAATCGCTACGTATATTTAATTATGGTTCTGTGATGACGTCATAGCGACCTGGGTCACGTGGGTTACGTCAGTGCGGGTTCGTGGCGCCATTTAGAGTACATAGTGCAAAGTTCGATTCATGGTTCGGGTTCTGTGATGACGTCATAGCGACCTGGGTCACGTCCTTGGCACCATCTAGAGTACATAGTGCAAAGTTCGATTCATGGTTCGACCCTGGGTCTCGTGGGTTACGTCAGTTTGTGTCGGTGGCACCATCTAGCGTACATGTGACAAGTTCGATGTGTCTTATAACAGGATGCTGTGGTGGTGACGTAACTATGAGGGTCCAGCAGCTAGCTTCATGTTGTACCTGGTAGAGGGTGTTCGAACTCAAGGATGAAACACACCTACAGGATTGCTTATTGACCTCGTGTGTTACCATTTACGACGCCATAACTAAGCCATCAGCTGTTTAAACAACCTACGTCAAGGCGAGAAATAACATGCTGCTTACGTCACAACTGGTGATTTAACGTTGGGGAGAGAGTGGATTTGTTCCACACAGGCCTTATGAGGATAGGCTATCCTGTAGTAGTACACTGAGAAAAAAAATAGGCTGTTATAACTAAAACTTTAGTAAATGTAGCTAGAAGCGTGGATAGCATAGAGGACAGGTCAAAAATTTAGTTGCAACGGCAAATATGAAGTAGTTCGTACAACATACGACTTTCGTGGTTATATCAACTAATATTTTAGTTAGCCGCAAACATTTATTCTTAACCTAAAAACTTGTTGCAGCAACTATTATTTCATAGTTATTCAAGCTATAATTTTGTATTGGCGTAACCAGTATAATATCCATGACAACTAATTTTCCTAGTTGACTTTGCCTTCTTGCTTAGCAGTGGCAACTGGGAAGTATTTGTTATAATAGCATGGAAACTAGTTAGACCAGCAATCATTTTTGGTTTACCAAAAAATATGGAAATTCAATAATTTGTAACTACCACAATAACATTAAGGTGATTATTGTATATTCAATTAAATTGCTGAAGTCGCATACTTTTTTGTAAACTTAAAATTCTTGCAAAAAATACCTAAGTACGTGTCGTTTTTTTTTTGAATTTTAAGTTTATAAAAAAATATGCGAATTCAGCAATTCATAATTAAATAAACACAATATCCACCTTAAGGTTACTGGGGTAGTTATAAATTGTTGAGTTTCCATATTTTTAAGTAAAATCAATAGAAACATTAAAACACAAACATATTGTTTTTAATAATTATTTTTATTCCAAACTACAGTACATGTGAATATGGAGGATAAACACAAAATTAATTCTTAACGTAAACAATTTTCTAAGAGAAAAAACACGTATAATGTTGATATTAACTCGCGCTTTAACTTCATAAATCAGTTTTTTATACTAACTAGTCAACATAGACTAATATATATTAGTCAACTATAACATTAGAGTATATGTCCATTTTGAGGCCCGTGGCAGGTGGTTTTCTATTGTCAATTATTATTTTTTTATAAAGTTCAATACACTGAATTCACAGTACACGCG